TAAAGATAAATAGTATAGGAAGATACATTATGAATGTTTAGTTAGCGGTGTACTGTATGTAGCTTGTTCCGTAAATTTTATGTAGTGCCCTTTCATCATAATCTAAGAAATATCATAAAGATAAATAGTATAGGAAGATACATTATGAATGTTTAGTTAGCGGTGTACTGTATGTAGCTTGTTCCGTAAATTTTATGTAGTGCCCTTTCATCATAATCTAAGAAATATCAAAAGGTTTGCAACGTTATTACCGTTGGTCAACAGACTATATTTATTATTTAGATTGGAAAATCATTGGAATTCTGTCATTACTGAACACTTCAGATTGTGAAATGTATGTGATACATACACACTCCTAGTTCAAAAAATGGTTTAACTATTTTACTGTTTGCTGAATTTTTGGGGAGGGACCTGGTTCCAAACAAAACTAAAAAACCAGAGCTACTTTACAGAATAATGTATTTTTTGGCCTATAGTATTATATCAGAAAAAAGAAATTTATTTTCCTCATAAGTTTATATCATGATGTGATCAAAAGATCAGAAAACAATAGACCAAATTTTTTTAAAACTTAGTGTAGGAAGAGGTTCTATCCTTAATGGAGTATTTTTAAGACCATAGTGTAAGTATTAAGCAAGTTTTACAACAAGGAAGTAAACTTAAAATTTTTTACCTGAAGTGGTGTTGTAGGTCAGAGGTTGTCAGCTTCAATTCCATACAAATGAGTAAGAATAATTAGCATAAAGTATTTTTTTGTTTTTTTTTTTAAATGTTTGTGACTCTTTTTTGAAAACAATCGTAGCATACATAAATAAAACTTAGGTAATTTTCACATTATTGTACAGTAGTTCCTCTCTATGAACATACAGTAACATACAGTATTTAGGACAGGAGGTGGTCTTACTGTATAACCTGGGAATCACCTTTTTAATCGAAAGAAAATTTTTCGTCACATCATGCCTAATTCAAAGAAAATATACTCATTTAGAATATTTGTAAAGTCTGCTAAATTACTCATTCCAATTATACCTTGGGCTGGTATAATTTAGGGGTATAAAGTGGGGGTGGGCTATACCCGAGAAGGGCTTATACCAAAGGAACTATGGTACTGTACATCCATTATTATTACTGTACAAAAGATTCTACTGTATCAAGGGTAACTATGAAAGGAGTTGCATCTATAAATAATTTGTTATTTTGTGAATACCTAGTGGACAAGCAAGCATTTATTTTTATTAAATTGATTATTTAATTTAGGAAAAAAAAAGCCTAGCTGACCCAAAAATCTAGGGTCAGTTTTTAAGGAGGACCTCAAAGTACTGAATCATTGAAAATAGCATTTCTCTAGCATTCATCAATAAATTTGATTCCTTATTCAGTCCACACTATCAAAATTTTAGGTTTCAAATTTGTGTGATGTGCTTATACATGAATATGGGTATGATGATGTCATCATTACACCTAAATATGGACATACAGAATCACATTTTTGTGTGTGTTATAAGCTTTTATTTGACATACTGTAAGCATTGATTGATTGACCTGATTTTATTCAGTACCATTACATTAAAAAAATACAAAGCAAAAAAAAAGAGGGAAGACAAGGACAAGATACTAAGGATGATCCAAGAAAGATAAAAAAGAAACCTTATTTCCATTGGAGTCCTTACATTAACAAGTGAATACAAAACACAGAAGTAAATATCAGCAGGATTAAAAAATGGTAAAACCGAACAAAGAGGGGTAAAATGAACAATTGAAGGCATTGCAAAGTAGTGTAAAAATTCAATTGAAGGAATAAAACCATAACAAAAGTTTGGCAAGTTTAAAATTTAAAAGGGTTTAAAGATTAAAAGAATTAGACAAGTTAAATATTTTTAAGATTTTAGAGCATGCAACATTCCTATATGGGACCATAGACCTATAAGTACAGTACATGTCTACTGTTTTTGTCAAAGAAAATTTTGGTAATTTAGACAAAGATTAGCATGGATTTTTTAGTCCAGATACAGTATTACCATTTTACTGCCGAAAAACCAATTTCCAATGTTTTGCAACAACAATTTGTTGGTTGCATTATTAGTTTGTATGTGTTTAAAAAGTATCTTGTATGTATACCTGTAGTACTGCACAAGTCCTTGAAAGCCAAGTTCACACAGTACAGTAGAGGTAATTACAATGTGTTTGCCTGTCTTGCACTTTGTGAACCCTTTCAAAAGTACTTTAATACATTATGCATGATATTCAGTACTGTACATGATACTTCAAGGGACGTCATTTTCCAAAGCTGCTTTGTGGTTATAGTGCAGTGCTTTGTTGTATACCGTCCAAGGTTTTTTGGGGGCGGGGAAGAAAATAATAAACAGGGCCTGCTTTGTTCAATCTATGACTTTATTCATAAAGAATTTGTTCTTTTATTAGATTCTAAGCTTCTATTTATAAGTTTTGGATTTAGAAAAAAACAATTGTTTGACATTTGTTTGGTTTCCTTCTTTATAAAACTGTCAATGTTTGAATATAATAAAACCATTATAACAAAAGTTGCTTTGTTAAAAAAATGTATAATAATTGAGTTGGCATTGAAGTTCCACTGTTCTTCTCAAGGAGCTGTTTTATTGCTGAGCATTTGTTCCAACAACCTGGTATTATTGTAGAGCAGCTAAATGTCTTGGTAGAATGTGCTGCACTTATTATTGAGTGGAGTTTGCTTGTGGTTAAGTTTACTTGTGGTTAAGTTATTTGCCTTCTAATCCAAGTGTCCTGGGTTCAATTCCTGTCATGGTGGCACATTTTCTCATGATCAAAAACAACTCCACTGCCAAGGCCTCAGTAAAATACTCGGTGTATGGATTATAAAGCATTGTTACATCCTGTGAGTGGCCAGTACAGTATAGGCCTACTTGCTGTTGGGAGGCTTTTATTGCCACTTATGAAGTTACAGTGCAACTTTGATTTATAATATAAATGAATACTATTTTATCATTAACAATTATGATAACTTTGTTTCAAAAGTTGACATCAGACTGCACTTTCTGTCAGTATGCCTTTAAAGTTAAATCTACTGTACTTGATATTGTATACATGTTGATAATAGTGTTACGATACCATATATGGGGATTAAGGAGATTATGACTAGATTAAGGATTATCCACATGACCTTACTGTATAGGACTGACCTGGGAATTAACAATAACTTTGCTGAACTTTTCCGAAAATTCTAGTTAGAAAATGTCCAGTCAATAATAGTAACACGTTGTTACCAGATTTTGGTAATGTGAAAGACAATCTACATAAAACTTGTACAGGAACCCTGCCTCATCAGTACCTGTTATACTTTTCAGATGTTCCAACTAATTCATTGCATATGTGACTGGCTCTGGCAAAATCATCTTTTTGTCAGAAAATTTTAAAATTGAGTTCTTGGTGTTTTTAGATTCTGCATGAACTCTTCTTTAAAGCAGTATTTATTTGATGGAATTGGTTGAATATTACTATTAGCCAAGTTATGAAAATAATTTAATTGGATATCAGCCATGTAGGTTTTGAGAACCATCTTCTTTTGTAAAATGCAAAAACCTGATTATGTTCAAAATTCTAATTCTCAACGATTTGGGTGCTTGTTCAAAATTAGAAATTGTGACATACGGCGGGTTTTGCCAGAGCCTGTCACATACGGTATATGAGTGTGTACTTGAGGCCTGAGGCAATATTTTTTTCAAATTAAACATATTTATAGTAAATGGAGAAAATGTCTTGGTAGACCTATACATAGATAGGCGTACTGCAAACAACAAAATGCAGATTTTAATATGCAGTTCGAAGTTTTTGCATTGTTTGGTGCCCAAGTTGTCACTGAGTGACATCTTCCTAGCTTGTTGTGAAAGCAAAGACCCCATTAGAAGAAGCCCCACATTTAATATGCAAATATTCTTCCTAGATTTCACATGGATTATAATTGCATGTAATATAATGTTATTATACAAATATGATAATCATTTACTTGCATAAATATATTTACTATACTTGCATAAATAAAAGCACTAATGCAGTCTATCAAAAAATATAATAAAATATTCCAATAAAAATGCTTTTAAAGAGTGATTTGCATTTGTACTCAAAAGTAAAATAAAAGACGATGTGCAATCATTGAAGGTTGGCTTGCGGAACACAATTTTATGACTTACTTAAAATAAATCGGAAATTTCGATAGCTCCTGCTACTACCTTTATCAACATCAATAAAAATGGCTAAATAATGTTACAAAAAATAAAAACAATTAAAAAGATAATAGTGATTAAAATAATAATTACCTTTTAGCATTACATGAACATCTATCCTCTATTATTATTTTAATATAAGTGCAAATAATTAATGATTATTTAAACATATTAATTATAATAATTTAAGAAAATTACAAAACAGACTGTATCATCTTATACAAAGCTTTTCTGTATTCATCGTTGCTGAGTTTGCCTTTTAATGCTTAAACTTACTTGCTGAGTACATCATTGAACTCTGTTTGACCTCTTCCATTCATGTCTACAGCATTCGATTAATCCGTGAAGGATGACTAAGGAGAGTCCTGGTATTTTCATGATTAAAATCATTTTAATAAACAGAAGAAATATGTAGTAAACAAGGAAAGAAAAGGTCTTAGAAATTGGAAAGATAATTTAAAGGAATTTGAAGAGTTTTCTGTCTGCTGTCTCAAATGTTACCAGTATTTATTATTTATGAAATTGTAATTTGATAATGAAATTCCGTTTAAAATATAATTTATTATGCGGTGTTCATCATAACATCATCATCTTTATGATGATGCAGTAGGTATAGTAAAGTAAAGTATCTGTACTATACC